CCCGTGCACGCTGCGCGCTGCACGCGGCCAGCTGCTGGCCGAGCCAACCAGCAGACCGGTTCGACCGGACCGCCACCCGGTCCAGACCGGCTGGACCGGTTCAGTAGCATTTTTAGCCGGTTTAGCCATTTTAAGCCCGGTTTAATATTTTTTGCCATTTTCAGTAAATTTTTCCTGAAATAGTTCAGTTCAGGAAAATCATGTCCAAATCAGTTCAAATAAATTCAATTCCGGTTAATCCGGATAAGTCTAAAAATCAGAATAAGTTAATAGAGCATCTTAACGAGATTAAGCAGTTAATTTAACAGTCTGAGCATAGTCAATAGTAATTGTTTATATTATTTTCAGTTTAGCAGGCATCAGCACTACTTGTCAGTCAGACAGTTCAGGTGGGGACTCAGACTAAGTACTACATTGTTTATAATTGCTCTACCATGTACGAGGTATGTATTTTCAGTATCCGCTCGGAATGGCCGCCGGTCCGTTCTGGGTTCTAGTGGCCCTAGTCTGCCCACTAGAGTGTGCACATGGTGTCCGGTTCGCCGGCAGATGTTCAGTTCAGATGTGACTTCGGTCACTACGTGGCTTCGGTCACGAGTTCAATTATCAGTTACGTGACTTCGGTCGCGAGTATGTGACTTTGGTCGCGAGTTCAGACCGGTATCAGTTCAGTTCAGATATATATGCTTAGTTCATGATATTGTTATTATTTACGATGTTTTACATTAGTATGAGTTTCCACGGAGCACAGTGCCTAGTGCTCACGCCCCAGTTATATCTTACTTTTCAGGTCAGCAGGTCGGGCCGGCGGTGTGACATGACGGAGCAGCTCGGGACATTCAGGACATTATTTATATGTTTTGGGACTGTATAACTAATATTTACGCTTCCGCTTACGTTTTGACTGTCTTTTGACGTTACTTAATGGTTTTGACAGTTTTATCATATTTAGACGAACTTTTCAGAAAATAAAGTTTTAAACAAAACCGGACGTTTTTAATAAGTTAAAACAACGGTTTTTCTAAAGATAAGTAAAGATTTTCACGGTAGCACCCCAAATCAGTTTCGCAAGGTAAAAATGTTTTAAATTTTCACAGACTTTGCGAATAAACGCGCAACTCTGATTTACTAGTAAGGTGGGGTGTTACAGATTATACTAGAATTGACTCGATAAAACTATAATTTGAATCAATTATACTAGATTTGTTGATATTCTATAAAGGAATATGTTAATTAACATGAAGAATATGTTTATTTTTAAAATGAACATGTCAACATATAAGATGAACTAGATTGGACTCGGTTGTGCACGCACAGCCGGCCCTAGTCCAGTCTATAATTATATTTAATATTTATAAAATTTTTAAAACACACTTACCCACATTTTATGGAGCAACCAAAATGCCACATATTTTTTTGTTTGTTTAAAATATTTTTCACAAATAATTTTTTTTTTCAACAATTTTTGACCACTCTTTTGACTCATTTGTTTGTAACATTTAAACAAATTTCTCAAAATAATTTATACTCTAAACCATTCTCATTCCTCAATTTATTTTGTAGGTGTACCATA